CCCACATGAAATGTGTTGTTTTTTATTCATATTACATTTGTTAATGTCTAGAAATCATATTCATCATTTTATTCTCTAATATACAATTATCTAAGTGGTAAAAATTATCTGATTAACATTTTACAATGATTTAAGATGTCTTACATTTTTCATTTTCCATTTCTTTTAGGATTTTCATGAGACAACCAAGATCTTTTTCCTTTTGAATTTTGAAACATTTCAATTGTTACATAATTACATTGGAAATGATTATTTTATCCAAAGAAGAAGTTTTCAAAAAATTATATAATAGAGCATAATTTGTGGCAAAAGTAGTAAAAAAAAAAGGAAATGATCAACAATCTCATACTTTTAGAATATCCAATAATAATTATGACAACGACGATGATGACGATGACGAATATGAAGATGACGAAGATGACGACGAATATAGTTACAATCCGGGACATTGTCGCCGTGAGGCTCTTCGTTGCCAAAAATTAAGAAACAAGGCATTTAGAAATGCATCAGAAGCTTATAGGGTTGGACGTGGTGGAGGTGGAATAACTTCTTATTATTCGAAGGAGGCAAGATTAAACATTTATATTTTTAATAATAATAAAATTTAAAGGAATAATTAAAACAATAATAATATTTTTCGTTCTTAGGGACAAGAGTATGATCAGGAAATGAAAACATGGAATTTGAGATATGTAATGTCGTCAACTGAACAACAAAGGTAAATCCACATATATATATATATATTATATAAAATATTTCATAATATTTAAACTCGGTTTTTTTAAAAAAATTTATAATAGGAATGGCAAGAATATTATTGATTTACATGGATTAACAGTTGATCAAGCAGTATATGTAGTGAGGAAGCATTTAAATAGATTATATCCAAAAGGTAAATAAATAAATGTACTGTATTATATATATATTTATTTATTTATTATAATACATTACCATTACGTTAGGTGATATATATAGTGGTAAACCTTTAAAAATAATTACTGGAGTAGGAAATCATTCACCTAATGGAATTCCAAAATTACCTAATGCTGTGAGACAAGTTCTAAAAAATAATTGGGATTTCGTCGAAAATCGTGGTCATATGATCGTCAAAGGTAGAAAAAAATAAAAATAATTGTAATAATAGTAACAATATTTAAATAATTAAAATAGTTTTTTTTTTGATTTTTGGTATGAATAATTTAATTTTCCAACATATATTATAAATAAATATATCTATAATTTAGTTATTAATGTTATTATTTGGGAATCTTTTTTTTTATGTGAACACCATCTATATATTATTATTTTCGGGGTGAGCCTTGGATTTAATAATATATACAAACATACAAATGCCTACATACACACGTTATTCATCTATTTATTTTACTACGCTGGGCCCTTTTATTTTTTTTTTTGCATCAGGACAAATCTTCAATATATAATTAATTAGTAGATTAATAATTTATCAATATCCAAGGTTATATTGGACATACCTTAATATTTTTGTATTTTCATCAATTTCATATAGATAAAAGCAATGTATTATGTAAATATAAAATTCATCAAAAAAAAAGAAAAAATAAAATAAAGTAAGACCGTAAACAATGATAATCATGTAAATAATTTGAAACACAAACCAAAACAAACCATTCATATTTTATTTTTTTGCATATGTTATCTTTAATTTATGATCTGGTCCCATTTGATGATTAGATAAAGCCTCCTTGGCAACCATTGCTTGTGGCTCAGTATCATACTCAACAAATGCAATACCCTTTGCTGGATGAATGGAACGAACTTCTTTAAATCCAGAATATCTATTATATCGATTATTTTAATATTACAAATTTATTCATTGAAACTTCCCCCCCAAAAAAAATAAAAAATAAAAACATACTGCTCAAACAAAGATGTAAGAACTGCTCCAGTTATATCGTTAGGTAGGTTTTGTAAAAAGAGTATATTATTTGGTGGAAGATACTCGTCAGGAATATTTCCAGGTGCTGGTAATTGATGTCCAAAGTGAAATAATGGTGCTGTAATAAAACAATTCTAATAATGTTAGTATTTGTTGATATTAAGATGATATTTATATTTATATAAATATGTATGTGTATATATATATATGAGTAAATACAAAACAGCGAGCCAACCTCCTGGAATATTTGAAGGTCCTGTTGGAAACGTTGTAGTGTTATTTGGCTTGAATTTTTTCATTGGTGGCTCTTTAACCCGTTTTTCTAATCATAAAAAAAAACCAATTTACGGTTAATACAAATCAAATAAAAATATACAAATATAATATTAATCAATACCTTTAGCCTCCAATCTTTGACGCTTGTGATCTTCAATGGTTCCATCAATTTTTGCAATTGCATCAGATTTTGATTTTGCATATTGAATCACCTTTGGTAAAAATATAAGTTTGATTTTTTAATTCCAAGTTATCATCTATTTAAAATAATTTACATAAATAATACAATACAAATTTATATACCATTGGTTTTCCATGTAAAGCAAACCCTTGAACTCCTTTTATAGCATTTGCTGCACTTTCTTGCTCTTTAAAAACAACAAAAGCTTGTCCACGCATACGTATATTTCCATGTGCTACTATTTCTAGTATTTCTCCATATTGTTCAAAAATAGCACTTAAATGTTTCTTTAAAGCTATTTTAAAACAAACAATCATGCACATACGCACGCATGTATATATTAAAAACAATCTAACCAATTTTAAACAAAAAGTAAAATAGATCTGAGAAAACCACCTGGTATCTTTACTTTTTCATTCAAGTTGTTTATATAAATTGTATTATTTGGCGTTGTACATGTAGATTGTTTAGGTGTTGGTGGTGATGTTAGCACTGGTGTAGTAGTTGAAGGTGTTATTCCAAAGGATGTCGGAGGCGCATATACTGAGGTTGGATTTGTCGTTGATGTTGATGCTGTAGACATTTTTTTTTTTTATTGTGCCAAAAAAAAATATTGAATGCTAAACTAGAGTTCATTGGCTAAATTTCTAGATCAAACAAAATCAGCATAGTGGAAATTTGAAATGTTACACTAATTTTTTATATTGTGCAACGCAACTTTACAAACATTCTGGCAATAAAAAGTTAAGTGATAAACTGGATTTGAATTACTATATATGTATAACATTTCGTGTAACAACAAACTTCCACTATGCTAACAAATCTACATGGGGGTATTCCAGTCGGGGTCCTAATTCTTTAATATTAATATTATTTTAATTTTGGGTAACATAAAAGGTTAAAAATAACGCGTTTTTTTGACAATAGCAATAATAATGTCTTCGAGAATGCATAATTTCAAGAATAACAACAAGCCAACTTTTGGACTACATCGTTCTCTTATGAAATCAAAGTCAAACCAAGTTTGGCGAGAAGACTTTAAAAAACAATGCTTACAAAGTATTAAGAAACTAAAAGATCAAGAACTAAATAAACGAAGGGGAATACTTGTTGATAGTGAACCTGACCAACATCAGGTTAATCTTTATTTATATACCCTCTTCATATATTATTTCTCTCGCTCTTTATTTATTCGTTTTCTTCTCTTACTTCACAACTCTATAATAATAAATAATAGTGGATTCGAAAGATAGTTTTGAATGAATGGAAAAAACTTCAAACAAATGATCTTATACGTTCTAATAAAATCATTCAAGATATTAATACATCTTTAGAACAAGAAGAATTTTTTCAAGAGATTGAGCAAGGTACAAAATAAATCTTAGCTTTATACGTATATACATACATTATATAGTATGTATATATAAATATCTTTTTTTTAAATATTTAGATTTTTTATTGGAAGAGGAAATTGATTTATCGTATCAAATTGGAGTTTATGAAGAGGAATATTTAAATTCAACACAATACGCTAACACAAATACTTTTATAAAAAATGATATAAATGAACAACAATTGCAGCAGCAACAACAAGATTCTGATATTACAATGACATTCGATGAAACAATTTAAAGTTAATCTATGCATAATAAAAGATAATATATATAAGTGCATTTTTGAGGACATTATTATAAAATTAATAGAATAATTAAATTAATAGTAATTCTGTGTACATATTATATAAATTTACATTAAAGATTTTTTATTATGCAAATATCAATACCAATAAATTTTAATGACTTTAGTAATAATATTAATAATTTTAGTAATAATAATAATAATTATATTAATTATAATAATAATTGTATTAATTATAATAATAATAATTGTATCATTTATAATAATAATAATTGTATTATTTATAATAATAATAATTATAATTTTCTTATGACATGATAGACTTCGAAATCTTCTAACAGATGCATACTGCCGCTTCCATGATCCAATCCAAGATTTCGATCATAATATAAGAAGGTGTTATGGTGATAGTAATAACAAAATGATTGTTTGTTGACACTATTGTATAAGCATAAATCATAAAAATTTACTAAATTTTCAGATATTTCTATACCATCTATAACATAATTATTCTTCATATCATTATCATTATTTTGACTTTTAACACCATTATAATCTCTATTTCTAAAACTATTATTATTATTTTTTTTATTGTGGTTGTAGTTGTCGCCGTCATTATTATCGCCGTCAACATTACTACTGACATTGATATCATTAACATTACCACAATGATAAATTGCACGTGCAGGATACGTGACTCTACTTAGGATAGAATTTTGTATGCGATTCGGTTCAATCTTAAAAATGAAACTCTGTATGGTTTCAATGAAATAATTATAGTTGGATGGTATATTTTGATTATTCCAACAGACAGGGTTATACCCACCAACCAACTCATCAGATCCTTTAATTTTCATTAGGACAATTGTTTGTGTAATATTCGAGCATAATTCAATAAATACTGATTGTGAATATCCGTCACAATTTCCACATAAAATTGGTTTAAATTCGTACGGAATACTACCTTCGTTAGCATAATAATGATCATTATTATCAATCCAATTAGAAATAAGACATTTGATTGGCAGATTCAATAATCTTCCTACTCTTCGTCTTTTCTGATTCATTACTTTTAATTGCCAAGCGTTACTATTTATCATCGGGGGACTGTTGTAATATTGAAGAAGCTCAGCATATAATTCATCATTAATTATTTTTTGGTAAGGTTTGACAAAATAGTTGAAATCATCTCTGGAAATATCTGGAAATCGAATTGAAGAAATTAGATCATCTAGTAAGTTTTTTAGAAAACCAATATTTTCTGGTTTTTCCCGTAAGATAATACTAATATTAGTATTAATATTATTTTTGTTGTTATCTTCATCGATATGGTAGTTTATTTGCCCGATTACCCACTTTATAATATATTTCCAAATATCTATTTCATTCAATTGTAAACAATCTTTTTCTATTATGGAAATCAATGTTGATTTATCGATTGATCTAAAATCATCAGATATTAAAAATAAAGCTGGATTGGAATCAAATAAATTGTTACAATATTGATTAAGTTTAAGAAATTGTGCGTGATTTGATGAAATATGGTTGATATAATTTAGATTCTGTTTGAGCCATTCTTGACTACATTGAATTAGATGATTCTGTAAGTAATCAATGACTTCGCTAAGGCATAATTCGTCACAAGCTTCAATCAGACTAAATATTTCATATGGATAAAGATGATCTATTTCAATAATTCCACTATAGATGTAACTTGAATAAAAATTTTATGTTTAATGCGTAGATGTATGTATGTGTATATATATATATATGCAATTGTGTTTTTATGTATATTAATAATATAATTAATATGTAAATATTAAATAATTTATGACCACCATTGTTACTATCATTAATACTCACTTTATGATAATTTCAAATACTTTTGGTGTGGTATTTTTCTTTTCAAAAATAATAATTCCATCTTTAGATCTCCTAATCCATTCATTTGACAACGCTACATTAAAATATGGAGATCTTGCCCTTAATACGGTTGAGTGAACTCGGAAAGTTTTGGTATGTTCTTGATCTTGGCCAACCGTCATTTCTACATCATAAAATGGCTGATCGTTTAATAATTTAGAAAAATCATTTATAAGTTTATTAATATATTTTATAGTCGATGCACTTTTTTCATTGGTAGCAGTAGTTAAGAGTTCGTTAAACAATTTAGTAACAATTTCTAAAGACGAAAGCATTTTTTTTTTTTTTTTTGAAAATTGTTATTTTGTTGCTTGTCTATTTATTGTTATTATATTATTAAAAATTTTTTTTAAATCTGATTTTTTACAAATAGATAATAGATATAAATAGATATGAAAAAAAAAGAACCCCGAAAAATTCATAGATAGTTAGTTGTACACGCGTCTTAGGACCGCGAACTATTATATGGGTGATTGGGTAACTAAAAAAATTATATATTTAATATAAATACACAACCGCGCGATCAACACTAATCATGTGATTATTATTATATGCAAGGGGATTTTAGGAGAAAATAAAAGTTTCAACCCTTCCGTAGGCTCCCGAATACATATATGTATATTAATATGCTATGGAAGGCAGGCTTTTGGTCAAGAATAGGTTTGAAGAAAAATTAGTATACTAATTATATATACATTAATGTACACTGTATGACGCTACAAGATTTTGTAAAAAAATTCCCAAAAGAGAATAATATGAAGACAACAATTTTGAGATTGCTTAAAATCTTAAATTATGTTTTTATTGAAAATTAAATTTACATGAATAAATGATGTAATAAAAAAAATCTTAAGATTTCAAAAGAAAAAATAGTATAGTATTATTATCATTATTATGTTATTGAAAAATGAAATTTAAATGCATAAATGTGTAATAATGTGTGTGAATGAATTTTATTGAATGTGTGTGTGTGTATATACATTTATTAAAAAATATCATAAAATTGATAAGCTTATAATATTTTGATGTGTTATTTAAAAAAATCAGTGTTGAAAATGAAAATATTATAATTAAATTAATTAACGTAAACACATGTCATAAATCTTTTTTCTTTTCCAACTAATTTTTTAATTACAGATGAAACTCTTTTTATTGAAGGTTTGCTTTTTAAGAACGAGCAACCTCGAGGTTTCTTTTTCTCGTCATAATTATCAATCTCTTTCTTGATATCGTTTGTTTCTATATCGTTGCTTCTAGTGAACTCGAAACCATTAAATACATTTTCTTTTTCAAAATTGTCATTGTTGTATAACGAGGGAGAAGATGGTAATGATAAAGATGATGATGGTGATAATGATGATGATGATGATGATGATAATGATGATGATGAAATGATTGTATTTCTTTTTTGCATTACAGCTATTTCTCTTCGGTGTATTTTGGATGCCGTGGCAGCTGATATTATCATGTGAGCATCGGCATCAAGATCTTCAGAATTACCATTATTGTAGTAATTGCGACTTGTCATTATTGGTTTTCCTTTGTGAATAACAATTATCTGTGGACGTTCAATAATTCTTTGTGCTTTTATTGCTCTTCTAATCTCGTAATCTGCTTTGGAAAGACCAATTCCTGAATCTTGAGAATCTACTGATTTATTTGATAATCTTTTAATAGTAGACTTTTTAATTGGGATGTCAAACTTAGTATGTAAGATGTCTGGTCTTGAGTTTGGATAACTATATCTAAAGACATTTTCTGAATTATTTGAATTATTTGAATTATTTGTTTTAATATTACAACTATGACGATTTTGAATATGATTTGACATGACTAATTAATAGTGTAAAATATATTATATGAATATTATTATTACCGTTGTTGTTATTATTATTATATTATTTTATTATTATTATATTATTATATTATTTTATTATTTTATTATTTTATTATTTTATTTTTTATTATTATTGTCGTTGTTGTCGTTGTTATTATTACTAAATAATAAATTGCCTTCCAGGACAACTTTTTCAAAAAATTTTTTTGTTTTAAAAAAAATACAAAAACAAAATTTTTTTTTGAAAAAAAAACAATGTGACAAACTAGTAATTATATAGTTTTTTTAAGTCGTAATATGGAATCATTCAAAAGCCGTTAATGTACCGTTTATGAATTTTTGTAACACGGAGGTAAAAAAAATCTTTCTTTTCGGCCATTTTAATTTTGTGGCTTTATAATTATTCAAGAATATCAATTGTTTTTATTATTGTTGTTGTAATTCGTAAGCAAGTATATCTCATTTCAAAGGGTTTTCTTTCTTTTTTTGTTTACTTTGGTTTTTTATTATTTTTAACCATTGTCACAAAATTTTAAAAAAAATAAAATAATATTAATATAGCCAACAATAATGTGTATTATAAGTGTCGAAAGAAGGAATGATAAGAGTTTTTCCAAAAATTAAGTAGTTCAAAAAAAAAAACAAACCACCTAAATTGAATGGATAATTCAAATCTATTTATAGATTACAAATAAAATAATCACGAGGTAATCATAATCTTAAATTCAGAAGGTGGAAAATAATATTCCGCCAATTTTTGATAACTTTCTTCCTATGCGTTGAAAAATGTGAATTTTTTCGATTTAAATTTTTATATTGTGTGACAACCATTCATTGCCATTTGTTTGCCTAATAAAACCGAATAAGCCGCCACCCAATTCTCATCATCCACAATTAGACCCGATACAGAAAAAATTACCACGTGATTGTACATACAATGAGTAAATTTCATTTATAAAGAATATATATATATATATATATATATATATATGAAAGAGCCAATTTTTAACAATTTCAATGGATAGTCCAATCGACAAAATTCCAGAGATCATCAAGATAATTATTGGTTCGAAAGAAAACAAGTTGTGTGCAGAAGAGATAAAAAAATATTATAGAGATGATGTCGAATACAAGCATTTTTTAACTTATATTCAAAGTTCCCATAATTCAAGAGAAAGATTAATTGCACTCAATAAATTTAATAAAGGTTATTTACATATAAAAATGGCTCTTTTAACTTTTGTTTTGATTCAATTCTAATACTTCTTACATATTGATTGGTATTTTTAAAGGGTATCTTTGGAGCGATTGTGAAATAATTCATGATATTTGTAAGTCATGCTTGATATTTATTGGAACTTTGAAATTACTACTATATATAAAACAATATTTTTTTATTTTAATTTAGGGTTTAATGATGATTCTCTCAAAGCCATAATTGACGTAACTCAAATCGCTAAAAGAGGAATTTGGTTTTGGTTTAATTATTCAACAAGGTATAGATGGTAATAATAAATACTGGAGGAATAATGATAATGATAATTGTAGACTTTTTTCTATAACATAATTTTTATAATGTAGATTATTGATCAAATTGGATCTTTCATATGATACAAATGGAAAATATGTTATACGGAAACAAGAAGTATTTATACATCCTGAAGAACTTGCTGGTGCGTTTGTTCCATTTCTCGTTCCTAAGCTGATTTTATTTTGGAAGTGGCTTTTTACTTGGGCCATTGTAGCAGTTGGAATGTTTTATGGTCTAGTGAATTGGGCATAAAATTATTGTTTGTTTTTATAAAAGAATATCATATGTAAAAAAAAATTTATTAAAAAATTAAAAAATTATATTTTGCTATGTAACGAATGAATTTAATATTAATAGTCTTTATGAATTAGTAACACTAATGAGAATATATGCCTCTTCATTATTTATCGTTCAAGGTAAAGAACCTCGGCTAGTTATGGCATCATTTTGAGATTTTTAGTAATGGTAAGTTTTGGGTTAATAATAAACCAATTACACAAAATACCTTAAATTTTAACCCTACAACTCTATACGCCCACATTTTATTAACTGTTTAACATTAAAAATTCAATTATACGTAATTTATATATATGTAAAGAAAAATTATAAAAATACATTGATAAAATTATGCATGTTAAAGTGTTAAATTGTCTCTTGTTAACTATTGTTTTATTCCAGTGATATCACACCATCCAAATACAGGCAAACAACCAAGATATTTACACCATGGACATTTATCCCTTGGGTCACTTGTATAGAAATTTTTGATCAAGAAGAAAAACAATAATACCACTGCCGGGATTGCTACAATTCTTAGAATCCACGTTGTCCATTTATGAAATTTGGAAAATTTAATAGTCGGCAATAAAATCATTCCAGTTAATATACCCATAATAAATCCTCCTATATGTGAAAAATTATCTAAACCTGGCAAAAGACCTATCAAAAATGAAAACAATATCATCAACATCAACTTTGTAAGTTCCAAACATGGATTTTTCATTAACTTCCAATTTTGAAGCGTGTCTAATAATAAAATCCCAATAATGCCAAAGAGTGAGCCTGATGCTCCCATAGAAGGAATAGTAGGCGTGGCGAAATTACCACCAAATACAAATCCAAATATGCCACTTGCCATATATATAATGCTATATCTCCACCATCCAATATCCCTTTCTATTGAAATGCCTGTTCTTAATTGAAAAAGCATATTGAAAAGGAAATGGATAAGACCTGCATGAAGAAATACTGGTGTGATAAATCTAAACCATTGATCTGGAACCTCGTTTCTAAATCCTCTTCCATCAAATCCACATGCCGTTTTTAATGGACATTGTTGAACAACAAATTGCCCTCCCACATTTGAAGGACACTCAAATTGATAATCAAATTCTCCTTGAATTGCAACTGGGCGCATGCAAGGATTAAACCTTGCTCCAAGTTGGATTAAAGTCTAAAAATGAATAGGTAAAAATTAATTAATTATATATTTTTATATTTGTTATATATTATTAATTCATAAAAAAACCACTAACCAGTGATGATGGACCGATCATTGGGTTAAGAGGTTGTGTCTGAATAAGAGTTCCATATAATTCTTGATTTTTTATAAATCCGTAAATAAACATTGCTAAATGAACAGTAGTAACAACCCATGTAAAATATGGTCTCCATCTTGGTCGCTTTTCCAACTGTACTTGTATTTTAGGATCATCATATGCGCTGGCTGGTTTTGGATGTTTTTTGGTGTTTTCTGTAGTTCCTTGAATTTGTGCTCCAGAGACTCTTTGTCCTGGCTCATTCACATTTGCGTAGTAAGATGCAGCCTCTCCTTTAGGACTATACATTCCACCGGTTTGACTTCCTGCGACCGTATTATGCCCATGATAATTTTCAGATTCTTCACGATACAAACGTTTAGCTAAGTCCTCATCACTGTCTGTAAGTCCATCATTTGTATAATTTCCATGTTGAGTTGTTGGTGTAGGAGGCTCCTGAAATTGTCCTTTCTCATTTATACTTCCAGTATTATTAAAAGAAGCTGAAGAGAGGTGTTTTTCAGAATCGTTAATTCTAATATTAGTTTCATAGCTGCTTGGCTGTGTTATATTAACACTTTCGTGACTCTGCACTTGTCCATATTGAGCATAAGAAAGATTTTGTTGAGAAATAGGAGAAATAGGTATACTTCTCCTATGGTTATTGTTTTTGTTGTTGTCGCTGTCGTATGAGGAGGTGTCGTAAGGTTGATTATGATGGAAATGTGAATTCCAACTTGATTCTGACATATCTATTTTTAAAAGATAAATAAAAATTTAAAATAAAAAAATTGAAAATGAAAAATTTATGTCATATAACAATAAATAATTCTATTTTTGGGTAATTTGGGTAATTTAATTTAAAAAAAAATTTTGTAAATGAAAAAATTTCATAATAATAATTGGTGATTATTTTAAAATAAACTAATTCTAATAAAGGAAAATACGTAATGAACAGATCAACATCAATAAAATAATTTCTCTTTTTTAACTACTTCTTATCAGAAATACTATTATCGTTTCACATTGATTCTTTTTCTTCTGTAAAATGTTCTAGTGGTTTATGAAACATAATAAAAAAATATATATATGTAGTAACGACATTTTTGATCACCAAAAATTGCGGTAAATGTTTGTAGCCAAATCGTTAGTTAATTCTTCTTTTGTTTCGCGCCAATGCTTGATATTGATTTTTTCATATTAGGTTTCTTCTTCTAAATAACTTATCATTGATTAATTATCGTTATATATAATAATGTTAATTTATTAGTAATCAAATCTGAAGTGGAGTTCCTTCAGTACGATTTGTTGGAAATCCCCTTCCTTGTTATTTTATAAACCCATAGGCATCATCACATGCGTAATCTACATAAATAATAATCATTACGAATAATGATCCATGGTCAATAACTTCATCAATCCAACGACGATGCAGCAATGATAGCGCACGTTCTTTTTCGTTCATAACCATTTTATCCTTTATTCTATAGTTAGTATCATTATCACATGTTATCAATATTATAAAAATTCAATTTAGCAGGATAAATGGTAATAAAAGAAATAATTAATGTTTGTAATAAATTGGTCTGGGGTAATTACATAGTATATCTGTATCACAATATTCATGTTATTATTATATATATATATATATATATATATATTAAAATGAATCCTTAAGATATCAGCAGGACAATTATATCTTGTTAGACCAAATTGTTTGAAGGGCCAAGAGAATGCATGTATGCAGTTTTATAATTAATGATGATGGCGAATAGGTGTTACCTTTTATTTTTTTTCAAATAAGTAATTTTCACAAATTATAGTTGTAGTATTCATGCAGCTGTCGAATGGCAACATCAATTGGTTGTCACAATTGATAATCCCTTTTAAAATGTACATTAACAAAAAAAATGATAATTTTTATGAATTTGTAAAGGAATGTGTAAAGTCACCAAATTTGTAAATGATTTACATCATGTTTTTATAAAACAAGCAATATTATTTAAATCTATTTGTAAACAAATTCTTAACTGTCTTTTCATTTTATTTTCCTGTAAAAACTGAATCATCAACTCAAGAAACACAACGCCAAGCCATATTACGTTTTTGGGTGCAAGGTACAGTCACTGGAAAAAAGTATTAGTATCGCTTCACCTGATGATCGGCGAAAATAATTGAATAATTCCTGTGATATAAAAAGTCATTATTTTACTAATTAAGTCGATGTTGTGTAATAACAAAAAAAATCTTTTCCATAATGACATGTTCATAATTATTGGTAATTTTATAATCTTTAAAAAGACAAAAAAAAATTTTTCGGAAATTTTCAAAAAAACTTTAGATTAGAGCCAACTTTAGATGTCATGTTTTAACACATTTCGAGAGCTTAGTAAATGTTGTTTCAAATACATACTTACAAAACCTCACAATTAATTGTCAAATATCGGCCAAGAATCGAACTACTCTTCTTGTAAAAAATTACGGCCAAGCTTCTCCTACTCTTCATTTAAATAAATAGATAATCCTTCAATATTTTTTGGATGTGGTTTTAGATTATGAACTGCCTTTTCTAAATAATCCCAAACATGTTCAATTGGTTGAGATCAGGACTCTGAGCAGGCCAAGGAAGAGAAGGAATTAAAATTATCTTCTTTCCATTTAAGCACTGCCTTTGCAGTATGAACTGGTGCATTATCATCTTGAAATATATTTAAATCAGTTCCTAATTCATTCATAAAAGGCAATAAATAATTTTCTAAAAGCTCTTGATATCTTTTACCAGTTATTTTACCTTATGTTATTACCAAGGGTCCTGGTTAGTTGTTCACGAAACAACCCCACATCATTATTCCTCCTCCACCATGTTTAAAAGTAGGAATAAGACAGTCAACATCATACTTTTCTTTTGGAATTCTCCAAACTCTTTGCCGTCAATCAGAATGATACAAGTTGAATTTTGATTCATCACTCCAAATAATATTATTCCAGTCATCAATGTTCCAATTTTTTCTTTCTCTGCACCAACTAAATCGTTTTTTTCGATTAACTTCAGAAACGAAAGGTTTCCTCAATGCAACTCGACTACAATATCCTTCTCCATGGAGATAGCTACAAACTGTTTGATCACAAATAGGAGTGTCTGTGATTTCATTTAATATGTTAGTTATCTCTCTAGCAGGAGTAAAACGATTTTTTATGACAATTCTTTTTAAAGTCCTAGAGTCTCGATCCGTTAAACTTTTTGGTCTTCCACTTCTAGATAAAACAGTAATTTGACCTTTTTCGCGATATGCTTTTATTGCACGCTGTACTTGTGTTTGAGTATGACCAATGGCATTTGCTATTTCTCAAGTTGCTTGACCAGCTTCCCAATGACCAATTATTCTTCCTCTTTCAGTATTTTCAGTATTTTGTGCATGATAAACTGCCAAATTTTCTTTGTCTAAACACCAAGTTTCCTCAATTTCTAATGCTCTTTCGAACCCTTGTCTTTCTAGTTTATTACCTGGTTGTTTTCAGGGTTTGCGACATCTTCAGGTCTTTTATCACCACCAAAACTTGCTGGGCTATTTATGACATAATTAATATATTTTAAGTCACAAAGACCTAACACATATTCATGCTTTCATTCTCCAATTCTCCCAGATAATTATCAATATATTCCACGGGATTTCTTTTTTAACAAACACGCTTCAATGCATTGCTTCCAAGTGAAATAGTTTTACCACAGAAATAACTTGTTAGCACTGATAAATTAACAAATGAAGGAAGTTTTTTATTTTTTATTTTTTATTTTTATTTTTAAAAATCTATCCGTTCACAGACCCCAATCAATTTTCTACAATTAAAAAATATCGGAAAGCTTGATATTAGTATTAGTCCCATTGATAATAATGACCATCATTCTTTAATTTGTTATCGACTAATCTACTACCACTAATGCTATAATTAATCCAAGAAACATCAAAACGTGAGATATTTGATAGAATAAACAACTATAGTAATGTCATCAACAACAACAGCATTAATGCCACCACATCATTCCAAAGGATGAGCCAGAAGAGATAACTATAGAAAAGAAAAAAATGAAGAAAAGAGCCATGACTACAAAAAATAAAAAGTCTAGAAAATTGCTAGAAGCACCTTGACAAACATTGACAATTGACTTGGAAGGGAAACCAATTGGAGCTTTCATGTGAAAAAGAAAGATCTTGCTTTGATTGATCTTCCTGCACAATACTTGGAAGCAAAGAAACAGTAGTTAAACCAACGTAAACAAAGTTAGCAAATTATGAAAATTCTCTAAATGTCATTAAACGATAACTTTTTCTTTATTTATTTCTTGGTATTTTTTTTATTTTATTTTAATCAAAGATTTATTCAATTAAATTTTTATCATCAACAACAATATAATCACTTTAGATGTGGTCGGTCAACTATAGATATATAATCAATATAATCATATATAATCTTAAATAAATTTTAATAATAATTTAATCAAATTAATCGAATTGAATTTCAAAATAACATAAAATATGAAAAGAAAATTTCACTTGATCAATATTTAAACTTTGAATCCACGAGAAGCTCTACGACCACGCGCCTTTTCAAACTTTCTTCCCTTTGAACGAACATAAGGTCTTTTATACAAAGAAAAAAAAAAAATTTTCAATCAATCAATCAATCAAGCAAAAAAATGGTGAATAAACAAAATAATAAGATCATTATTATACTTGGCATTTTTATGTGGACCCATTCCAAAATGTCTGATAGCTTCTCTTGATTTTGGACCTCTTAAAAGTACAGTATTAGAACCAATTGGTGAGCGTAAAGCCAATTGGTCAAGTGTAAGAACTTCACCACCAGCTTTTAAGATCCTTGCTTTAGCGGTTTTTGTTATACGAAGTGCCGCAACTGACATCTTTGGTACATCTAAAACTCGATTGTCATCGGTAACTGTTCCCACCACAACTGCAATCTTATCTGATTTGTTTGCTAAATTACGAATTAATCGAGAAATTGAAATCGGTGGCCTATTCACACGTGACATAAATAAACGTTTTAAAATCACTTTATTAAAATCGGAATCTGTTCTTCTTGCTAAAACTCTGTAAAGCTAATTTTATTATTATTATTAAAATTTTTTATTTAAAAAAGCATTAAAATTTGATTTGAAATAATTATTATAACGACCATTATTTAATTGATTTTTCATTACCTTCACCAACAATCGGAGGTATACATCCTCACTTTTTGGTTCAGTTCTGTTTCTTTTTCTTACATGATGTTTCTTAATGTCAATACCCTAAACAAATATATGATTTTTAATAATAAATAAAAAAGTTACTCATTTTTATATTACTAATTAAAACAATCATAATTGATAACATTAATGTGTTTTCACGAGAATACCATCTTTGAATTCTTGCTGAATTACAGTTTTCTCAAAGAACAAAAAGTTATCAAAAAAAAATTTTTTTGAGTAACACTAATTCATATTTGATTTTTATCAACCAATCAAATAAGCATTTATATTAATATAGTATTGATTATTTTAATAAAATTAAAAAAAGAATAATTTATATCAATATAAAAAAAAATACATATATTATTAAAAATGCTTTAAATGATGAATCACATTGGAGGCAAAGTTCATTCATTTAATTTGTTTTGTCGGATGAAAGCGCTTATTTGGAAGGCTTTTCCTGGTTGTTCTCTTAAATAATATAATTTAGCTCTTCTAAATCTTTTTTCTGTCTTGTGTAAAATCTTAATTGATTTTATCATTGGTGAAAAAGCAGAGAATCTTTGTTCAACCCCAACTTTTAAAATAATATTACGTAAAGTAAAATTTGTATCTATTCCTTGACGTTTAATTGATATGCAAACACCGGCAAATGACGAGGTTTTCTCAGTAGTCTTGCTAACATATGACTCAACATTTACTACATCGCCTGGTTTAAGAATATTTGCTAATTTTCTTGTTTTACATTTCACAAACAACCTGGCTCGATTATCCGGCTGTCTCGCATAACCTTCTTCCTTTATTATTTCCATTATGTTTCTGTGTTTTGTTTCAGGTAATGTTTCGCATTTTATTGGAATTATAGAATCTGGCAATTTTTCTCTTGAATAAACTAACCAAATGTATATGTATATGTGCGTATAAAATATTTAGATATAATTATACAAAATAATTTTGTTATAGGAATTTGGCTTAAATAAATACGAACAAAAGTTTAGAATTACTCACTGTCTGTTGACATAGATTTTATTTTAAATGAAATAGGTGATGTGAATTTAGGTGAAAATATTGATCTATAACATCTACGAAGCATTTTTGTCAAAAAATTTTTTTGAGAAATTTAAATATTTGTTAAATTTTGTTACAACTGGACCGTGTCACCAAAATTTTTTGTCACGTGAAATTCATGAAAAGCTGATATTAATGTCAATCAATGAATAACCTAGATAAGATAAATGGAGTCATTATTAGACTCCAAAACAACATTTTCTTTTTTCTGATCACCTACTCGATTAAATGACACAACAGCAGAGTTAAAATCTTTCTTATATTCTGGACAGCATTGACATCACAATCCGTGATGTAGTCTATTAATAAAGAATAAATAAAGACATATAATGTTACAATAACTTAATTTTTGTATTTTAACATTGAATATGAGTACAAACACTAAACATTACATGCTTAAACTGGCCAGAATCGTTACCGTTCTTTGAACTACCCTTCACATAATTAACAGATTATTAACCCATCAACTAAATGTGCTCGACATTTCTTCTTTAAAACCCTCTTATGACCTCTTGAAAATCTTCCATCACCACATTAATATGCAACTATTGTTTCAGCACCTCCTGTGGTCCTATTGCAGGCGATAATGACCGTTTTCTAATAACGAATCTTGATTGTCAGTATCCTAATAATCCTTTCGTTGTTAATATTTGAGCTGGATGTTCAACCAATTGATTCAACTGATTAACTTTCACATTCTTGTAGGAATTCTTCATGTTTTTTAATAACCTAATTGAAAAACTAATTGCACGAATTTTTTTTTTTTATAAAAACAAGACTTAAACATTGTACCCATTTTTTTAAAAATCACATCAACTAAAGTTTCTTTAATCTCTTTTAAATTTTATTTTGAATCTTTATTGGCTAAATAATTAAAAATAGACAGTAATTGCTTACTAATTGTTTCTGGGTTAGTTGGAGTAATCTTCCAATTGAAATATACGTCACATCTTTTTGAGCTTTTAGATCAGCTTCCATTATAGGAACTAGGAAATTGTTATAAAGCTGATGATGAATAAAAAACAGAGTTTTAATCATAATTTTCTGCTAGAATTAAGATTATTCTATTATTTTTTGAGTCATAAAGTTAACTGATTTGAAAGTCCATTAACACTTTCATTTTTACGAAATTCTTTTAAAGGTTCATTATTTTACTCGTAGTAGTAGATCTTTCTTGCTGATACTATAGAAAATATCGATCAATCGATCAAAGTTACGTGTAACAGTAATGATTAGGTGTAATAAATAAGGAACGGTGCATGTATCACGCGTTTCATATTAATATTAATAATCAACGTATTAAACGAGATTAAATCTAAAAAAATTATCTTTTTAGTGGTTGCAAAAAAATGCATGAACTTTGTGATAAATTAGATGATGTATTACTTGAATATTTTTCATTTATTTCAAACTATCAAGAACAATGGAAACAAATAAATACTGAATTAGAGAATGTAAAGGAAAAAAATTTTTTAAATATTAATAATAAATTTCAAAGAACATTTTTTTAAATAAGATTTTTCTCTAATGTATAATGCTTTTTTATAGGGATTTTTACAACTTGCCCATGCAAAGTATACAATGGGTCCTGGTAGAATAACTCAAAACCAATATGATGAAAGAATGAAGGCTTCTACAAGAGTGTTAGTTAATATATAATATATATATATATATAAAATTATGTTATCAAAGTGAAAATGTGATTTAACATTTTGTTTATTTATATCTAGTTTAATATCAAAGGTTGAAACAGCCGTTACTGACACCTCCAATTTAATCAATTCTTCAAATGAACATAATTATACATTGATAAATTATGATGAATTTAGTGAAGATGATGTTGATGACTCTGATAAAATTATCATCAAAAATACAACTAGCTCAACTCTTCGTCAACGTAGTTTGAAAAGTACAAATAAAGAAGAGATGGAGGATTCTGGTATAAAGAAGTCATCGAAAATTAAAGTTAATAAAAATCCATTAAATTGGTTTGGAATTTTAGTACCATCTACATTAAGAGATACACAGAAACATTTCAAACAAGGTTTTTTTTTTTAACATTTTAAATTTTCATAAATTTTACATTAACTTGATTTTAACACCATAAAAAAAAACACAATAGCTCTTGTAAGCATGGTTATGATCATAAACATTCACAATAAGATTTTGGAGAAAGAAAATGAATATAAACATTTAAAACAACAAAAAGCTTTGAGAATAAATCAAATTTTAGAATCTGACAAAAAAGAAACAAATGATGAATCAATTTCTTCATGAAATCTCAAGCTTTAAATAATGTTAGAAGTAATTGAAAATCAAATTAGTTTGAATCAGTTTATTCTTGATGAACAACCATTTTTTACAAAATATTAAAATTTTGTCATGCATGTATTTATTATTATTGTTGTTGTTGTTGTTGTTGTTGTTGTTGTTGTTGTTCTTATTATTATTATTATTCACATGAGTTTTTAAATGTATAATATGTAAAGACTTGGTTGATTCACACAAAATTAACCCTATACACAAATGTTTACTTACATTGTACACAAAATATGGAAGTAATATATTATCTGATAATTAAAAATCCTATGGCTCTGGAAAGTTGTTTTCAATAAATTAAATTCATGAAAGGGACCATTAGCAATCTCTTGAGGCTGGCTTTATCAAACTGGGATTAGAAAGTTCAAAAAGAAATGATGAGATTTTTGAATTCCATTCAACCTCTTAAGGTATCAAAGTATTGAAAGCCTTTTCCACCTTTATATTGGTAGGTTTTATTCAATCCAAGAGTATTGTTTACAATGATTCATGCAATTTACAGTTGTAATCAAAACTAAATTTGGTATGTCCTGGAATCATGAAATTTAGTTCAATATTTCATAATAATTACAAAATAGCAAATAAAATAGCTATTTCTATCAAAAATCAGGCTAAATGTGCCATTGGGTCCCTTTCTATCAACTTATCTTCATCAAGAACATAGTTGATTGCTTCATTTTGGATACCAAAAATATGGACTTTGCAAAGACTAAGATAATAAATCTTATTTACCTATTCATCAGAATGTGGTACATAGACATATTAAGTTCAGTGTCAATACTACAATACTGTACTTTCTTTACCTTCTGTTATTGAATAGTTTTGATTGACAAGTTTTCTTTGCTCTTCAGATTTTTGTTATGCTGATTCTGCTTTGGTCTGATGAGCTTTATATATTTTTAGCAATTCTTTGTTGACAAATATCATATAAATTTGTTTTTGGACTCATAATTTGAGTCAATTGATGTCACAATTGGCAAAAGATATCATACTTCAAGGGCTATCTTCTTCCAGATCTGCAATAAAGTCTTATGAACTGATTAGCACATTTCTGCTGATAAGAATATAAACGATTAGGCTATTCTGTTTTACTTCTTCCTGGACTTGGTAATCAATGAACTTTAGTATAATTTCAAGAAAACTTCACCAACATCTTTGTCAATTATCTTTTTTATTTTTTATTGTGGCATTCTTTTATTATTGTCACAAACTCTTGATATAAGGACCATTGTTTATCAGACAATTTCTAACATCCTCAAACTATACAAAGAGGTGTATTGTGATTTAAAGCTCTTAACGGGTTGGGTTCAGGTTGGTCTCAGGCCTGTATTAATAAGAAAGACATTTCTATTAGTACTAATCTTAAAAAAGATTTTATTTTGTGAATGTCAACAATATATCATTTTATTTGTTAATGCATGCCCACTAAAAAACTTTATGATTATTTTATTATAAATTGTTAAGAAAATAATATGGGCATAATGTAATAAAACCAGACAAAGTGAACATTGGTGATTACCAGAATTTCAGGGGTCAAAGTTTAGTAATGTGATTATAATTAACAGTTTTATAATACCCTATTTGTTATCTTCAGTGATATATAGAACCACTCCTATATAAAAATAATCAATATGAAGTTAATTTACATTAGGTCTACCATGGAGCCCAAGAATTATAGCACCATTAGAAGTATTCTAAAAAGAGAACAAGGTGAGAAAATTGCTCCTTATGTTTTCAAAATGAATAACACTCAGGCACTTGAAGCTTATCTAAGAATTACCTATGAGATTTACCAAGAAGAAAGAAAAATAATAAATGCTAGAAAAAGAAAGCATCACCATGATGCATTATTACCCAACAAAAAGCTGAGACCTCTAGAAGAAAAATAATAGGAACAAATTTATTATCTATTTTATCTTTTCCTTTTTGGCGTTTCCTCGATGAGTAACTAGATTTCTAAAACCAATACTAATGTTCCACTCCAACCATGATTTAAAGAGTTCTCTTTCATGATTGAACACTGATTTTTTTTTTGTAAAACTTCTTATAACAAAAGTGGTTTAAATAAAAAAATCATGAAAAAAAAAGAATGCTTTAATTGTAAAAATACCAAAGATTTAACTATTAACTGATGAGATAAAGAAGATGAAAAACATACTGAATTTTGTTGTGCTGAAACTCTCATGCAACAAGAGTTAGATAACGACACTAATAAAGATTGAGAAAGAAACCAAATAAAGCTCTTTAATTCAATCCTTACAAAAATGTAAAAATAAAGAAAATTTTAATTGGCCTTTTCAGTATAGAAGCATAAGACAATATGGTAGTGGCAGATGAGATAGAGTAACTACTTGGTGTCCACAATGCAAAATAATTCTAGATTGAGATGTTACTGCTTATGAAGACAGTTGAGGACACAAATGCTCTCAATGCCATAATTGTCATAAACAAATTGCAAGAGGTAAACAAAATGAACACTTTACTTGAAAGATGATAACACTCCTAGTTATATTTGCCCAAAAAGCGCTGAAGGAAGTGAACTAGTTTGTAATCTTTGTGGCAAAATGGAAACACTTAAAGAGGGTTGCTTAAAAATCAAATTTGTGTAGGGGATAAGGTGAGTTCTGGTGTAGTTAAGACAAAATTCTAAAGGTCATTCTTCAATATGTACTGTGAGATAGTAAATAAGGACTGATAGATAGATCCCCACTTTGCCGATCCAACCCAAGTTTCTTATATTAGCCTTCTCTCACTATTAAGTATATAATAAGTAATTATCTTAGTACAAGACCCATACAAAGGTCTTATCAATTTGCTCTAATCTCAATACAAATGCACCTTTTTACTTTGTAAAATGAAAAGATAGATATTATGTATGTACAACAAGGGTTCATAATTACTTTCTGGAATATTATATTCTCTGAGCTAAGATCGATTACTCCAATACATCATGGATCATCATTTGATAATTACCCACATCAATATTGCAAAAATACATTCATGTGCTGGCATTTCTTTCTTCTAATGAATTGAAAAGAATTTAGTTTTTTAGTTTTATAGAAATAATCAAAGTAATTAGATAATCGATTGCCTTGATTTAATCTTTCAAAAGTGGTATGCTAAAGCTTTCCAATTTACTTCTTTGTAAGAACCCATATCTCTTAATGATATAGCTCATTTATAATAAATCGCATCTATAAAAATAGAGATTGGTTAATAAAATTCAGAAAAACATCATTTTTTGCACAAATACTCATCCTAATCAGAAATAGCTGGTATTTTTGTCTTAAAATCATTATAGTAAAGAGATTCCCACATAAAATGTGTTGTTTTTTATTCATATTACATTTGTTAATGTCTAGAAATCATATTCATCATTTTATTCTCTAATATACAATTATCTAAGTGGTAAAAATTATCTGATTAACATTTTACAATGATTTAAGATGTCTTACATTTTTCATTTTCCATTTCTTTTAGGATTTTCATGAGACAACCAAGATCTTTTTCCTTTTGAATTTTGAAACATTTCAATTGTTACATAATTACATTGGAAATGATTATTTTATCCAAAGAAGAAGTTTTCAAAAAATTATATAATAGAGCATAATTTGTGGCATGAAAAATATTTAGATTTGTTAATATTAATATATCAAAAGAAAAATCACTAAATAAGCAATTAATGCCCAACTTGATATACTGTCCTTTTTAAACGTTTTCTCTCCATGTTTTCCTCTGTATCTAAAGAAAGGATAATGCAGAGAGATAAACACTCTTTATGTAATAAATAAAATTATTTTGAAATAACAAGAAGAAACTCTCATTTTATTCTTGTATTATCATTTAGCTGACCACAATATAGGGAAAAAAGAGGCTGATGACTACCAAGAGATGACTTGGATACCCTCTGACTCATAGCTCACCGCCAAGGCTGGGAACAGACATGAATAACTTCTGCAAAGTCATTGGATCAACTGTCGCCGCCAAGGCCTGGAACAGACACAAGCAGTTGTTAATCACCAAACAACTCATAGCTTCACCGCCAATGCCTGGGACAGACATGAAGCTATGGCATTTCCTTGGTAAACATGCCAAGGGAAGTCCTCAAACTTCAGCATAGTTGTGCCCTCGTTATTTTCAGCAACAATCTCCCAAGTAAATTTTGAGTTAATTGTTTTGTGTTAGTTTTAAAAATCTAAAAATAGTTATGCAACATGACAATGTATATATATACAATACAATCTAGGGGTTAGTTAATCAACACAATTGTAAATGAGATCACCAGTTCTGAAACTTAACATGAATATTTTTTAATATATAAAAAATCATTTTTTTCACAAAAAAAACTTATACACTTATTTTGAAAGTCAAGGTCTTTCATACTAACTCTATGCATATGAAGTGTTTTGAATTGAATTGAGCAACAATTAGTTACGTTATTTATTTTTTTATTTTTTTTTATTATATATATAAATTAATAAATTGAAATTAACTTCAAATCTACTTTATAAAAAATTTGTTCCTTTGCTAAAGCTTCCACAGAAAAAGGTACCTCTTTTTAAATTAAAGGTACTAAGGTTTTTTTTCATTTATTTTCTGAATTATCTTTAAATGTCCACTCACTAAAAAATTATTTCTTGGAATTCTCCAGATGTACCCATATTTGAAGCTGATTTAATCCAAGTATAATAGATTCCTTTGGAATATTGGATTTTTTATTGATGTTAAATTATTTTCAATTTTATTGGTGTCTTTTTTCATGGCTTTGAGATTTTCACAAAGACTTGAGGTTCTTTTTTCTGGAATAAGCTCATTGAATCTTCAAGTTTTGTCTATTTCTCATATAGATAGAAATAATTTGCTCATAGATAAATTTCTGTTATTTCATATTTGTATATTAAGTATTTGACTTGAAATGTCAAAGATTGTAATAAAAGATTAAATTATTTAATAAACTACTGTGTATATATGAAAAAATATTGGGATCAAGTTTTTGGGTTGAAGAACCATTTAAATTAGTTGCATATAAACAGATATTGCCCATCTTAAAAAAATATTATTTTAATTTTAATAAAACTTACATAGGGTGATTTAGTTTCTTTTGATTTTGTTTGAATACAAATTAATTTTTGAAATATAAGGTGCAAATTTGAAATATATATTTTATTATTTACTTTTTCAGAAACAATATGAGCAATACTTGCTATTTCATTAGAAAATTCTTTTTCATTTTTAATTTTTAATTATGAGTTCTTTTAAATTGGTAATTAATTTATTTTGCTTTTTTATAATTAATCTTTGTTTTCTATATTTCTTTAGATGCATGTATTGTTTTGTTGAATTTACTCCAGCCAAAATTCTTCATTGAATTTGTGATTTAAAACAATTTTCACATATAATATTTTCTTTACTACAAGTGTGCAATCTACTCATATATATATTTTCTTTCAAAAAGCAAAAGGTGCATGTTCCTTTCCATTGTTAATTAATGAATTTGCATCTTCAAACCTTTAATTTTAATTATAATTTATTAATTTAATATATATAATATTAAAATAAAAATAGAAATGATGTCATTATCACGTGACTTTTACAGTAATTTGGTTTGGTTGGATCGGCAACATGGGGACCTCTATATCGGTTCTTATTTACTATTTCACAGTATGAAATTAGAATACCAAGTTAACAAGTGAGGAGATGAGATAAATGGCATTGTAATTTCTGACCTTTTGAAAGAGAAAGGAGTTTAACTGCTACTTACAATACAAGCAATAATGATTACAATGACATTGCTTATATTTGTGTTGAGTGTAAAAAAGCTCTTGATGATAATACTTTGCCACATTGTAATGATTGTGGTAGAATTATTATGAGAAACAGTATAGATTGTTTTTGTGATTTAAGGAAAGATGAACTGGTCACAACCCCAACCATAACAGAAATAATGGCACAGAGTTATGTTGGCAGATTGTAATTAAGGTTTCTGGTCCAAGCTGTTTTCTCAAAGCCCAAACTAGTTTGGGCAATTTGGGCTTCTCAACATTTTCTATAAGCATGAACATTAAAAAACTATATGAATCAACTTGTTTTAACTTAAACAACTTTAAAATAATTTCGCCCAATTTTGGCTAATAACAAAAAGTAGTTTGGGCTTATAAAAAAATAATTTTTGCCCAAAATATTTGGGCAATTTCGGCTACTAATAGAAGCAGTTTTGGCAAGAAACCTTAGTTAAGATGAGAATTAAATTTATTTGTTATATCACCAAGAGGCATCATGGACAATATGTTGTAAAATGTGTGTATCACATTGAGTGAGCAGTTTTGAATGACCAGGACATTTTTTCAGGTGTTGCAGAACCTGTTTCTTTATACTGTTTGATAGTATCATTTATTGTACTGGTAGGAATATTGAACTGAGCAGAAATAACTTTTTGTTTAATGCCACTAATATATGCACCAATAATTTGCTCACATTGAGCAACTGACAGCTCCTTTCTACACATTTTAAACTAGAAAATTAATAAAATTAATTTTTTTTGTTATTTTCTTTATTTACAGTGTGGGACAAAAAAAACTGGAAAATTTTGAATGCTATAGTGTCACGTCTAACCACCCAGTGTCTGAAATTGAGTACGGGGGTTTGTGTCACATATTGAATTTAGCCAATCAACGTTAAATTTTCTACCAGAAGGACAAATTTGATTGGCTAAATTCAATATGTAACACAAACCCCGCACTCAATTTCAGACACTGGCTGTGCGTGATTGTCAATTTGAAATTAACGCACGTGAAATTCAAACTAGCTAATTAGAAATTTGCATCCAAACCACCCCAAAATTTGAGGTTTAGATCATTATCTATCTCCTAACCTTCTAACAATGAAAGTTTTGAAAAAAATTTTTACGACAAAGCCAAATTTGCTAATTTACGCGACGCTTTTACTCCCAATTTTTTTATTCAATAATATATAATATTTTTTATTAGGAAAAGCCGTCACTATCAATATAATCGAAAAAAAAAAGGAAAGCTTTTGAGATGCATTAATTGATTGTTAAGTTCAAAAAACTGGCTTCGAAGAAAAACCTGTTTTTTTAATTATATTATAAATTAATAAATTATTCCCCACACTTAACCAATCAAAATTTTACGGGCAAAGCTTAACTATTTCATCAATCAGAAAGCAGGATAACGATCTGATTTTGGTGCTGTTGTTAATCTTGATATTAAACAAATCACTGTGTAAGTTAAATCTTTTTGTTATTTTATATTTTAATTGCCATATTTAATATTCATTCATTTATTAACTAATTTACATCAACTTCATTAATAATTAATTCAGTTGATATTTCTATCAACGCAATATATATATATATATTTATTCAAGTATATCAAATAATCATGAATAATTAAATTTTATTTTCATGCACAACATATATATTTGTAGTTTCGTTTTCAAATCAAAGATACACTATCTTCAAATAAAAATATAAAGAGCCTTTTTTACTTTCATATTAGCTAAGGCAAAAACCAAGAGCAAAACCCTAATTATTACTAAAAACAAAAAAGGGATCCATATTTCATTTAACAATAACTTAATAACGTGTATCTTTAATTTCGAAGCTTATAAATCCTTCAAAAGTTATGAGGGTTTGAATTTTGCATTTTTACTTATAGTGCAGATCATCTAAAATAGCGTTGTACAAGGGACATGCCGCCTAATACTAATATTAATACTAATATTAATATTGTTATACGGACATGTCCTGGACAATGTCAAAGGAACACTGTAAAAAATGTCCGTGTAACAATTTGTCAGGCGGATATTTACTTAAATATCCTGAACATCCGGTACTAGTAATATAAACCACAAGTTAATGTATGAAAATGCCTTTACCATCAACATATTATTAGAACCAATATTAAATTAAACCAAAGCAAATAAAAAACCTTTTGTAAAGCATATGTTGAAAAATCAGGAGAAGAAAAAATGGTTTCCAAGCAAAAAAATCCAGCATCTAAAGAAATGACTAATTTAACAAATATGAGGCGGAAAATTAGGTAAAACTCAATCAATTACAATTGTTTAAATGTTTTGCACAAATGTTAAAACAAGATCAAGTAAATTATTATAAATCACTTTTTGACCAAGCGGAATTAATTAATTAATCAACTGGGTAATTAAATAATCCTATATTAATAATCCGGAGTCTTGCTTGAGAGAGCATAGTGGACATTTGATTTCATTGGCTAAATTTTGTGATATTTTTGACGATCACCCTTCAAAACATCACTTATAAAATTAATTTTTATTGGTTAATTTTATATAATAATTTTTCATTGTTCGTGTTAACAAAGTGGTTTCTTTAATTAATCTTTTTAACAAGGCAATGGTTTTCCCTTTTTTTAATGAGGTGAATTTTTTTATTTGCATTTCTAACAAAATAATGGTTTTTTAACACCACAAAATAAAAAAATCATATATAAAAAGACAAGTAAATTTATAAAATTAAATTGAAAAAAAAAAAGTTATAACAACCATAAACCAAATATTTAAAATAATTTAAAATGCCAAAACCTAAAAATCATGGCCCATGTGTTCTTGAAGGTTGTGAATCTCATGTTCCATTTAGAAAATTCACTGAAGCTGTAAATGCAGTTCTATAATAAATAAAACATATGAAACTTATAATTATCTTCAAGTTGATGATCAACTTTGTCATTTACATTATTTATCAATTGTGGTACCAGATAGAGGTGGAAAAAATGCTGTTAAAAAGCAAAGATCAGGAGAATTTGGAGAAATTCATATTGTTGAAAGTGATTACATGGAAGTTGTATTATCTCATATTTTGGAAAATTCAACTGATGATATTGATGTAAATTTAGATTATTGGTCAGATATAAATATCAATTACCATGAGGATGGAAAAAGTCTTTATCAAAAGAAAATTTTGATATCTTATTAAATAAAATAAAAGGAATGCAAAAAAAATTAAATGAATATGAAAAAAACACTTCAATGAATTTGGTGAAAGAATTAAATTGCTGTCACAAATCTTATATAAAAGACAAAGACAATTAAATTTAGATATGGATATGATTGAACAACATGAACCAAAATTAAAAGGTTTTTTTGATGAATTAGTCTATATTTTTTTACCAATTAATAGATCTGCATATAATATAGAAATGCAAAAAGGTCACTTGTTGGGTTCTGTTATTTGTTGACTGGTCTAAGAAATAAATTCAATAATTCTCTTCAATTAGAAATTGGTCTTTACCTATTTTCATGTGGTGTAACTGCAGAGTGTATTGATGTAATGGCAAGTCATAGGCAGAAGTTTGTCTGATTAGCTAATTTTGAAGCTATGGCATTTCCTTGGTAAACATGCCAAGGGAAGTCCTCAAACTTCAGCATAGTTGTGCCCTCGTTATTTTCAGCAACAATCTCCCAAGTAAATTTTGAGTTAATTGTTTTGTGTTAGTTTTAAAAATCTAAAAATAGTTATGCAACATGACAATGTATATATATACAATACAATCTAGGGGTTAGTTAATCAACACAATTGTAAATGAGATCACCAGTTCTGAAACTTAACATGAATATTTTTTAATATATAAAAAATCATTTTTTTCACAAAAAAAACTTATACACTTATTTTGAAAGTCAAGGTCTTTCATACTAACTCTATGCATATGAAGTGTTTTGAATTGAATTGAGCAACAATTAGTTACGTTATTTATTTTTTTATTTTTTTTTATTATATATATAAATTAATAAATTGAAATTAACTTCAAATCTACTTTATAAAAAATTTGTTCCTTTGCTAAAGCTTCCACAGAAAAAGGTACCTCTTTTTAAATTAAAGGTACTAAGGTTTTTTTTCATTTATTTTCTGAATTATCTTTAAATGTCCACTCACTAAAAAATTATTTCTTGGAATTCTCCAGATGTACCCATATTTGAAGCTGATTTAATCCAAGTATAATAGATTCCTTTGGAATATTGGATTTTTTATTGATGTTAAATTATTTTCAATTTTATTGGTGTCTTTTTTCATGGCTTTGAGATTTTCACAAAGACTTGAGGTTCTTTTTTCTGGAATAAGCTCATTGAATCTTCAAGTTTTGTCTATTTCTCATATAGATAGAAATAATTTGCTCATAGATAAATTTCTGTTATTTCATATTTGTATATTAAGTATTTGACTTGAAATGTCAAAGATTGTAATAAAAGATTAAATTATTTAATAAACTACTGTGTATATATGAAAAAATATTGGGATCAAGTTTTTGGGTTGAAGAACCATTTAAATTAGTTGCATATAAACAGATATTGCCCATCTTAAAAAAATATTATTTTAATTTTAATAAAACTTACATAGGGTGATTTAGTTTCTTTTGATTTTGTTTGAATACAAATTAATTTTTGAAATATAAGGTGCAAATTTGAAATATATATTTTATTATTTACTTTTTCAGAAACAATATGAGCAATACTTGCTATTTCATTAGAAAATTCTTTTTCATTTTTAATTTTTAATTATGAGTTCTTTTAAATTGGTAATTAATTTATTTTGCTTTTTTATAATTAATCTTTGTTTTCTATATTTCTTTAGATGCATGTATTGTTTTGTTGAATTTACTCCAGCCAAAATTCTTCATTGAATTTGTGATTTAAAACAATTTTCACATATAATATTTTCTTTACTACAAGTGTGCAATCTACTCATATATATATTTTCTTTCAAAAAGCAAAAGGTGCATGTTCCTTTCCATTGTTAATTAATGAATTTGCATCTTCAAACCTTTAATTTTAATTATAATTTATTAATTTAATATATATAATATTAAAATAAAAATAGAAATGATGTCATTATCACGTGACTTTTACAGTAATTTGGTTTGGTTGGATCGGCAACATGGGGACCTCTATATCGGTTCTTATTTACTATTTCACAGTATGAAATTAGAATACCAAGTTAACAAGTGAGGAGATGAGATAAATGGCATTGTAATTTCTGACCTTTTGAAAGAGAAAGGAGTTTAACTGCTACTTACAATACAAGCAATAATGATTACAATGACATTGCTTATATTTGTGTTGAGTGTAAAAAAGCTCTTGATGATAATACTTTGCCACATTGTAATGATTGTGGTAGAAAATGTTTAAATTACCCTCACTTGAATGCCATCATTCTTATCCTGTTGTAACATAATCAATCTCCCAAAAAAAATTTCGCAAAATCTAATAATTTAATATCTTTCGTTCTCTTTCTTAATTGTTAATTATGTGAAAACATCCATGAATACCTCTTTTTATTGTAATTAATACCATTTATATTTAAAGTTTATGATTATAGATAATCTACAAAAAAAATTTAGAAAACATGCATTTTTTATTGCAGGTTTATCATAATGTCTATTGTTAAAGGAAAAAAAATATTGAATCACAAACCAAAAATTTATTTAGAGATGAATTAGTAGACCTTTGTAGGACAGG